GGGGGGAATTACTTTCGATCTCTAGCTGCCTTTTGGCCTTACTGTCATTAAATCTTATAAGACCATCGTCTCTAGGGTGAGGTGTGTAGAAGGTGTGGTAGGTTTGAAGCGACGACCATGTGCCTGAATTTGAATCGAGTTTTCTACTTCACCATGTTTTTTAATCATATTACGGGCCTACACTAGTTCCTCTACACTACCACTTCCTCTCCACCTCTTTTTCCAGTTACCGATTCTGAATTCGTAGTTGAGTTCATAAAGCTAGGCCGTGTAGTTTTTTATTGTCTTGTATTGATTTCTCCTGCAGCATAGCCTTCGAGCTTTCAAGGTATTGATCAATTTCCAAATCATGCATATTAATGAATGCCGCCTATCTTTACCCTTTTCAGTTACTCATTGGGTTTGGTGAGAAATTAAATAGATTTCCTTTGATGCAAGTTTTGATTGTCTTTTCAAACGTTTCAGGAAGCCAAGAAGATCGCAAACCTGGAGACGCTTCGAGAGAGATCGCTTCTTGCTCTAGAAGAATACGCCAAATTACTTGCTGGTGACACCACTGCTGCGGAGCCCGATGAGTCGTTCATCCAACTCCTTGTAAGTCTCCACCACCTCCTTCTTACACATTTCTTGCCAATTTCAATTGGATATAGAATTTTGCACGATTTCTTTGTGGTTGTTATGTTCTCCAACCTGCTCTTCCAATTAGAATTTCCACATCGCCCATCTGTTTATAGTGTCCTGTAGATTTCTAGTTCTATGATTACTCGTGTCACGGCTGTTAGTAGTTCAGGGAGTCTGGATACTAATTTGATTTGTGAAAGCATTGTATTATTTATAAGTGATGTAGTTTACTGTTGTTCTCCTACTATTCCAAACTCAAAAATTGACTCCTAAATTCACAGATGAAGTTGAATTCTCAGTATTCGAAGCTTGTTGCCTGTGTATTTCTACCCTTGTATAGACAAAGGCCGGTAGGTTATTGTTCAGCCGATCCAATCTTGGTTTTTAAGCTTTAAGTCTTCCGTGTAAGCTCCACTGAATTTGTATCTATTCTTCATTGGGGTTAATCTTCAGCTTCTTACTAATGGTACTGTGGTTTCTATACACATAAGTGTTCCTACCACGCTACCGATGAACAATCGCACTTTGCAGCTCTTCCTTTTTTTCAACTTGGAAGGAGGACGTTTTTTATCGAATTGCTGATTTTTTATGTCTCCATCCGCTCACCTCTTTATTATTTCTAATGACCAATCACACCGCTCTACCAAATGACTGAAAAGGTTGTTCCAGGGGGGCCTAGAGGGTCACTGTTTTAGTCAGATTTATACCAGAGAGTATTTGTGGGATTAAGGTTGATAGAAGCTGCAAGTTATAAATTCAGCTAGGAATCTAGGCATAAGTGGGCGGAAAATACTAATGTAGGGTGGGGGAATGGAGATTGGAGAATTGTGATATTGAGCAGACTCAAGTCTCCCCCTGAAGTTGGCTATAAAGAATGTCGTATGCCTGACGAAGGCGATTTCATCAGTTAATGAGATATCTAAAACCCGAACTCAATATCCCTAAGTAATCATTGTCCATCTCGCGAAAATTTAGCTTAACTCTCTTTTCTAATTAATACACCAAAATGTTCACACTTGGAGAAAAATAAACGCAGTTTCTCCTTTGATTTATAGTCTGATTTATTTGCCTCTAGACTGCAACTGCAGCCGCTGAAAAGGAGCATGTAGCTTCAGATGCGCTGAATGCCGGGCACACTGCCACCACAGCAATGCAACCTCTCTTCGCTTTGAACACGGGCATGGACAACTTTGCTAACTTCCTTCCTCCCCCAATCACTTCATCTACCGGTTCTGGCAAAAATTGCCTCATAGAAAATGATCCCTTCAGTCCTGGTATGTTCCTCCTGTTCACCGCTATCATAGAAATAGCCTGCCATTTAGTAAAGCCACAGCTACTACTCTTCTTCGAGGAGGAGAGAGAAGGCGGTTTTCTTTTAACAATATCAATTTACTTACTTACTGTGACTACCTGATTAGGCAATAAGTGCGGCGACGGCTTCTCCACAGGATGGCCTGATATATCTAGTTTCTCTCGGTTGAAACGTAAACATTCGATTAGACTTCCTCTAGCGCCTCTTCCTTTGACCACGGTTTATTCTATTTATTTCAGTCATGTAGTAATTGTTCTTGAATTGACCTTGAGAACCCAGCGACCGTTTCCTTTTATAATTCCTCTTCATTGTTTTGTTGGTTCAGCAGCTGTTTATTATATATAACTTAGACATAGGCGAGATTGATTGGTTGCCTGTTTATCTTGTAGTGCGATGATAAAATGACTTCAGTTACAGAAATAGAACTCTCCTCTCCTTCGTTTATGAATTCTTTTTGCGTCCTCGATGATATTTGCTTCGTCCTCCTATCAATTGCTTATCGACTGAAGTTGGTGTGCTTTCACACTACGTACTCCAACGTTTCCCAAGTTAGAAATTTAAAGGAATCCTAATGATGCCCCTTTTTCAGAGACTGCAATAGTGAAATTGGGTTATGATTAAAAACGACCACACCAGCAGGCAGGATGTATCTAAAGCCATGAACCAAATCCTGCCCACTCCAAGCTTCCAGTAGTATGTGACGATAATATGATTGATGGCGGCTGGCTCGGTGCTTCTTAAAGTTTGTTCACCATGACCACCTCAACCACAAAACTGTATGTATGCTACCCTATTACCTTAGTTTTGTAATTGGGTTGATTCCCGCTGCCTTCATTGTGAAAGCAGTAGCGCAACATCTCGGAAACAGTGATCTTGAACCAAGTCAGCTCAGTTACTTAAGTTTTATAATGTGTTCTTATGCAGGGTTATAATTAATGGGAAGTTATGCGAACAGTCGACTTCATTAAATGTGTTTCAAGTCAATTTAAACTAAGTCAGCTGCCTCTCTTCTTGATAAGCTCAATTCGTTTGATTTACAGTTCCTTCTACAGATGCATTTGCTGTCTCATTCGGGTCATCTTCAATCGGGGCTTCCCTCGATCCATTCGAAGCGGATCCTTTCGCACCCTCCAGCTCTGATCCCTTCTCTCTCCAAGTTAAATGTAATTAGCACCTCTTACTTCTGCTAGAATATTTTAGTGATGTTTATGTGTTCCATCTACATTCACTTCACTACGTTTTCTTTTAGCCTCTGATCATTCCAAGACCAGCTTTGATCCCAACAAATTCGATGCTGTAAGTTGCTGATTTTATTATCCCCCCAATACTGCTTATATTATATTTGAGTAGCAACTTTTTTCCTTTGCCAGATATTCGGAAGCGCACCTTCTGAATTAACCGACTATCCCTTTACATCCACTCGTGGTAGTAACAACGGAAATTCTACCACCGGAGTAGGAAGTAGGAAAATCCCCCCGCCTAGACCGGCTACTCAACCAAGTGTGGTTCTGAGCAAATCAAACAAGAAATCCCCTCCTCATCATCACAAGTCAAGCGGTGGTCTCACAGTGGCTCCAAAGTCGACCTCAAACAGTAATGAGTCGCCTAAAAGTCGACTTCGCGGAGCTTTCGGTAAAGTGGGGGCCATCGGAAACGGTTCCCGCAACAGTGGCGCCTTCCGAAGTGTTAGTAGTAACGCTGGCACTCGGGATAATACCTTGATAGCTTCCGCCTCAATAAATGAGGCGGAGCAAATTCTTTGGGCCACCAGAGAGTCTAGAAGAGCTGCTAAAGCCGAGGAGGAGTTGAGAGCTAAAGAAGAGGCGGATCTTGAGTTAGCTATACGACTTTCACGACTTGAAGCTCTGGCAAAAGGAGTATCTTAGAGATTGTGACATAGTTAACTGTACTTCTTATCTACTGATTAATACCGCACCTCGCAATATCCTATCATTTTAATGCCATTCTTCTCTCTGCGAGCTGTTTTTGTTCTTCCTTCTCTTTTCTCATTTTCTTGCACTGTCCATTCATTCTTCACTCCTCCGATGTTGATGATATTAAGGTATTTACTCTTTCTAAAATATATTATTACATGATCTATCTTGGGGAAAGATATCTATTTTTTTATTATTTTCACGGGAGGGGGGTATTTTACGCTTATTACATTACTCGTAATCACTATCAACGTTGTGTTGAACATTGGTGGAGCTTTATTAAGAGTATGTTATTTTATTTGCATGGTGAACAACGGAGTTTGGAAGGTGGGGTTTTGAAGCTGGCAAAGGTAATAATACCGAAAACTCAATACTAGTAGCAAGTTAGAGTCAACTACAATGTCCCTTCGAGTGTTGATTCTGCAATTTCAGAGGAATTTTTGCATGCTGGGCATAATTAATGTTGTTAGTAAATAGCACATGAATTTTTAAATTGATGGACTGTAAAACCTAGACGAGTTAGTAATAAATAAATTTCAAAAGGCAAAGTGATGTCGATCTATATTTGGATGAATCCATAGTTTATAAAGAGATTTATTTATTTCGAATTGTAGGCGTTTTGATAGTTATCATTAGCCCTTTTGTTGAATTCAGGCTTCACGGAGGGGAAGAAAATTAAAGTGAAAAAATCGAGTTGGTTGGGAGAACAGAAGTGTTTTAAAGATGAAAAAGATACAGACACAACGGTAGAAAAAAGGTAATGTTTGTACTATGGAAGTAGTCGAATACGACATACAGTGAGGTGATGGTAGTTTGAAGTCAGCTGCAGGTTAAGAGAACATTTTGTCGTACGAGTATACCTTGCCCAGGGTGCACCATGTGGAGGTAAGTCTATCGTACACCCCAATTTATAAAGAGATGAAACTACTTAGTTATAACACAAAAAATATAATTATAACAAATACAATAGCCACAAATGTAATACGATTATTCTTTGAACAAAAATAAAATGCCTTAGAAGAGATAAATTATTATAAATAGCACTAAAGTGACCCAATTTTTAAGTAAAATTTTCTTGTTTTTTAATTAAATAAATGAATGTTTATTATTATAAAAACAGTTAGATTGTCTCCTGTCATCCAACTAAGACTTACCCAGTCATTGTAAGGTGTGATTTGTCTGATTACTCTTAATAGAGATGGTTTTTGCTATGTCCATTGTAAGGCCAATTTTAAGGGCCTTTACTATTTCAAATTCAGCCCCTTACATCACGGCGGCTAACCGATATGCTTCAGTAACTTTAAATGCAGCACGATTCAGTGTCTATAATCCATGTCGCCATTTCTCGACGGAGGATTACAAGGAATCTATCCAGAATCGTGTGATGAATGTTTGTAAAGCATATGACAAGTTGTCGAACTCAAATATTAGTATTTCTTCCGATTTTACTAAAGATTTGGGCTTGGATAGCCTTGATCATGTTGAACTAATCATGATGATGGAGGATGAGTTCGGTAAGTACCCGATTTGATAATAGCATGTTCTGAGTGTCATTTATTAAATGTATTCATTTTACTAGGTCTTGAAATTCCCGATCAAGAAGCCGAAAAACTTCAAACTCCCCAATGTATCGCTGACATGCTTATCAAGAAGAAGGAGCAAATGATGAAACTGGACTCATAGATTGTGTATTCTATCATTTGTAAATTTAGTTGTTAAGCTAACATAGAATATACTTGTGCATTAAATCTTATTATTTTGCAGTTACAAGTTTTGGTTCGCCACAGTCTCATTGCAAAATTTTAAATTTTTTTCTGTTTTAAAGCCTTCGACTATATACTAAGGAAAATATTTATATAACTCGTTGTTTTGATCTAAGTTCGCCTTTTGTACTTTTTAAGTTATTTTGGGTTTTATTGGTTGGCTTTTCTGTGTTTTGCTGGTCATTAAGTATCGGGAATCACAGTTAAAGTAACTGATACTAGGTCTAAGTGTCTAGTAGTTCGCTACGCGTTCGTCGCAATTTTATAATTTACAACAACTCTTTGAATGCTCGACTGGATGGTGATTTATATTCATTCCACATCAGTGCTTCAGCTTTGAACTATTTTGCTTGTTCATTTTAAGCTATTCCTATTTCGAAACACTACTAACGAACGCATTAATTTAATTTTGATGTAAGTATATTTGGCTACTTGTGTACCCTTCATGATGACCCATCCTAAAATATGTATCAATGACAAACATAATAAAAGTATCCATGATTTTCGAAGCGATCACTACATTTAACAATTCCATGACACTTATTTCCCTTCATTTGGAGCAGGGAATTTGCCTTGATTACATAACTTCGTGTATTTTGCGTCGTAATTGATAGTGCTTTATGAAGGTCTTAATACATCATAAATAATATCCGGACCTAAATTTCGACTATGGAACTTCTTAGAGCTATCCGCTTCTTCGGTGATATGCAACTTTTTCTATAATCTATTCATACCTATTGCACCTGATTAGCCATTGTGCAAACAAGCGAAAAACTCCACTTTAAAATGGCCTTCGCACGCGATTTTTCTCCATCCAAATATCAAAAAAGGGAACAGAAAGGGAGACTCCAGCGAGGAACAAAATTGTAATCTGAGGCAAATTTAAGCCTGAAAATGACAAAACTTTGGGGCGTTAACATAATTAGGAAGAATATAAAAAAAGGAGATCACAGTCTAAGAGAAGCACAATCAGGGTAATTAAGATTTCAATTGTAATACGTAGATTAGTGTTTATGGTGGGTTTTTAACGCCAAGAAGTTTGTTCATTTGCCGATTCTGGGTTGTCATGGTGTCAGATACTCTAGCAAGTTGAGGATCCATTCGATCCAACTGTTTATTTTGAGCCTTCAGTTCAGCATTCATAACAGTTGCCATACTCTTCAAACGAGCCATTCCCGAAGACATCATATCCATATTGGCATCGAACTGCGACTTGGGCTAAATTAGCGGGAGAGGGCCTTTGTTATTTAAATTGATAACAAATTTTTAACTGATGGTATTAAAGATATACCTGATTTTGAGAAGGCAGTTGAAATGATTGTTGTTGCATTGAGGGAGAAACCGGATTTATATTTTGAGAAAGGAAAGATGAGGCGTGATTTTCCTGATTTTTCGCTTGTACTGGCAGTACTTTATTGGCAGGTTCAACAGCGGTGGCAGGCCTAATGAGGAAATCAAAGTAATATCTTGTAATTTAAATCGAAGGACTACGTCGAAGAAAATTGAGACTAACTTTTTGGTAAACCAACTTTTCCACCAACTTTGGAGAGCACCGATTTGCTTTTGGCCGTCTTTTTGTAACTCACCAATCTCATAAAGCCGTTGTTCAACTCGGTCTAGTTTTTCTCTTTGTTCGGCAAGTTCTTCTAAGGTACTGGCACCAACCTGCTCAGAGTGACCTATGCTTGCTAGTGCTCGCTGTTGACTTGCAAGAGTACGGTTTTGAGGTGTAGCGAAAGCCTGAAAATTATAGGACATTAAAAATTAAATTATAATTATATAAATAATGACAATAAAAATGTTAAAACAAAAATTAATAGTTAGGGTACCATATCACTTCCAGAGTACTCATGATTGGCGTCAAACGGACTTTTCGATGTGGGATAGTCTTCTCCGAAAGGATTACCGGGCATTCCAAGCAAAAATAAACAGACTATTTTATAAACAGATGACCCTGAACACGCCGGCTAATGAGAATCCACTTAAACAACTTTTACAATCAATTAACCCAAATTCGAAAGCCATCATTTTTACTTTCCCCTATCATGTGAGTTTGCAATTTTAATTGTTTGCATAAAGAGACGGCTAAATCTATTCAATTTTAAAAATATTTTATAAATTATTTATAAATAATTTATCCATCCCTTTATATTGAAAAAAAGGCGCATATAAAATAACCTTTTCTATGTAGTTTTAGTCTGAACTGCAAGTTTAGCTAATTTTAAATAAGCTTTTCATTTTCATTGCATTTATGACAAATGATTAATCGATAAAAAATAATCCCGACTAATCTATCCCAAAGGGTATTCATATTAAGTATTATTTCGATTGTATTAATCTAACAGGTTGAGGGTGCAAATATATAAATTTTTTATTTTTTTCGTTATTTAATATCTGATCTAGAAATGAATTTAAACGTTAATCTTTAATCAAAACTAATCGTATTATCCATATACTCTTACCATTTAGCTTCCGAGCGTAGATATCTTAAATTTGAGTCCATAGTACAAATCTACTCAAATATATTCCACTTATGATCCAAGGTTTAGTTTGCCAAGTCAAACACCGGTTAATACCGTTCATAAAATTTAACATAAAATTCGATATATACAATGAGCTTTATATTTGGTCATTAAATTGGTCAGAATTCGAAAGGCAATGTAATGTTTATTTTTTGTGTACAGCCCGCGTTACTCGTAATAATTAGTATCTAGCTATTAAAATGAATAATAAGGACGTATGCTTCTTTTTATGTTATATATTCGATTTAGTCTCCTTTTTTTCCTGTGATGCGCAAAGCTATCAAAAAGCTTTTAGAAAATGGTCCGGTTAAAGCAGAGGAACTTGAAAGATTTCAGGAAGGGTTTTGGGAGCAAATGGTAGAAAGCTTCTCCCCTTCTCTTAAAATTCTTGACATTCACGATATCAGTCGCCACAGTGTTCTTTGGGTATGTCAACTTTTGCTTCTTTTTATTTATGTAGAATATAAATGACCGGCTCTTGGAAGTTGTTAAATCACGCATTCAGGAGATTCCTGCTGGTTGTGACAAAAATAAGAGTCTTTGGAAAAAGCTTCTCACCAATGCTCCTTCTTTAATACATCATCAATATATGAGGCCAACCATTATGATGGTTCTTAGCAAAGTTCCTAACATCAGGGAAAAGTATATTAACATTATAGTTAGTGATGAGGCTCTTTATAATGACACCCCTCTTCCTGTCCTACGACAAATCTGGATGAACAAAAATAACACGTAATTTTTATTTTGGTATTAAACTGTAGTCCTGATAAAATAGAAAATTCAAGGAGGAAGTGATGAAGTTGATTCAAAATTATCAGAATGCCTATTCGGATGGACTTCTTGAAGCTGTTTTATCTTCGATTACCTGTTCGTGTGTTGATACCCTCCCAATGTTATTTTGGGCTCCTCGCAGGCGACGAAAGGATCCAAGTTTACTAAAATTAATTGAAATGATTGGCGATAATAACGTTTTATACGAAAAGACCCTCCAAATTTTCCGCGAAGAGTATGCCAAATACCAACAGTCGATTGAGCAAACAGCCACACGCAGGGCTACTTTGTCTTCATCAGAAATGCCTAGCAAACCTACTGGGAAGAAGAAAGAAGAGCCCGTGCCACCAGTTCATTTTACATTTATTCCTCCTGCTTTGCTTCCCTCTGTTCAATCAGTTTCTTCCTCAGTTCTCTGTGCTCTTCGTTTTGACTTACTCATGGGTTTGAATGATGCGAAATTAGAGAGCATTTTTCAGTCAGATAAAATTCATCGATTTGTCTGGGGAATGGACGCTTGTATTAAAAACAAGGAAATCGATAGACGTCATGCAAAGGATTTAGTTGCAACTGTTGGTGGTCAACAATATCGATACACTTCTGGTCGTCACGTATCAATTTCTGCCCTGATTGGAGAAATGGGATTAGATCAAGATACTTCAGATGATTGGGTTCCCGATGCGGAAGAAAAACCTGGTACTAGCTCTAGTCGAAAGAAGGCTTCCAAGTCGGCCCCAAAATCCGGTGAGAAGCGATCGATTGCTGATGTAGAATCTGACACAGAAGCGTCTGAAAAGGGAAACCACAGAATTAGAATGTTAGTCTATGTCCTGCTTTTGTTTAATTTATCTTTCATTTAGTGATCTTCAAATGGTCTGTCGTGATCCTTGGGTTGTCTATACGATATGTTCAACTCTTCTGAAAATTGTCATCAAGAATGGTCTGAGTGAGGATAAATTACCCAGGGTAAATCTTTTTTATCTCCTATTTATAAAGTACTTTTCTCTTTGTTAGAACCTTCCTGATGTTCCATTCCTTGTAAATCTGCTAATGCGTGGTTTGGAGAATGATTTAACTCCTCCAGAAATCGTTGCCCCTAGAGATATATCAAATAAAGGCGAACCGAAGAACAAACGTGCTCGCAAACAACAGCAGATTGAAACACCACAAGTTCAGCCTTTAAAACTTGATTCCTCGACGGCTTTGATCACTCAAGTCTTACCGGCCGCGGCGGAGCTTCATCTTATAACCTGGAAAAATCAGCTTAATGAAAAGATTCGCGCTATTGCTAGTCAAATTTGGTCTAAAACGGGGTCTACGGAGATTCCTGGCCAGTGGCAGAGGAGGCTTGATGGTAAGTACTCTGAAAGAAGGCCTGCTATCGACGACTAATTAGTATTCGAAATCGTATGGGTGGGCTATTGAAATTCTTTTCTTTAATTTCGTAACTATTGCTTTCTCTTTTAGCGTGTCAGAACACACCTCTGACAGTCTCTCCATCCTACTTGGCTCACCCAGTTGGTCACCTCTTTCTGCAATATCACGCGCTCTTCGCTCTCGAAAGGCGAGAATGGAACGTCCTCCGAGCTCTTCTCAAAGCTGCAGCATCTGCCGCCAAGCCGTCTAAGGCTACCCCAAAACTCCAGACGGGGATTAATACAACTTCCAAGGCTCAAACGCAGTCTGCGATTGTCACAACCGTTGGATTCCGGTGGCGTCCGGAGTGTCTACAAGCCATTGCTCTTGGCATAGCCTCTTCGCCTGATAGATTAGACGAGGTCCAAAAGAGTAGTTCCCGCAGAAATGACGATGTTATGCCAGGCGCCATAGACAAACCAGGTGGAGTCAAAGGCACCGTTTCAGAAATCCCCACTGTAAGCGTGGAGTCTTTAGCTGCAGAGCCTCTTGCCAACTCTCCTGTGACTAGAGCTGAGTTAGCAAGTCTCTTGAGGACTAGCTTACCTCTCCATAGTGATCTACAACTCATTGTTCTCGCTTTGTGCGCAAAACTGGTTCCATTGACACCGAGTACGCCTACTACCCCCGGATCGGCGGGAGCAGCTACTCCCATGCCAAATTTCTTTGTTTCTACAGGAGGAGATTTACCTTTCGCCGTTCCTCGGTCCACTGGCAGTAGTGAGAGGGAGAGAATGATGAATGCGCTCTCAAGGCATATTGAATTTACTGCAACGGGAGAAGGTGAGGAGAACCCAGTTACTTCGCCGTCGGGTACCACAGGGACGAACGCAAGTGGTGCTGGTGCAAGTTTCAAATCGACGAATCCGAAGGTACTGGAGGCATTCGAATGGCTAAAGAAGAATTTCGAGAGGGCTACTGTGAGTAAAACTCTAATTAATTTAGTTATATATCACAAAATAAGGACCAAACGTCAATATGCACGTGATGCTGTGGGCTAATTATTTAGGAGAAACATTCATGTTCCAATTTGAAAGAGTAATACTAGAATAATTTCACATGTTTTATGCTTTTGAACATTATGGAGATGCGTAGTTTTAGAATCTCAAACCTGTGAAGAACGATTTTGTCTATACAGTTTGAAGTTCCATGTGTCTCGTTAAATCTCGTTGCGCCTTTTCCCAACTCCATTTTGGTAGTTTGATGCTGTTAGGCGGCCAACGCTAAGATAGGCGTCTATATTTAAATATGGGGTGTGCGATAGACTTACCTCCACATGGTGCACGCTGGGCAACGTATACTCATACGGCAAAAAGGTCTATTAACCGGCAGTTGACTTCTGACTTCAAACTACCATGGCTCTGAAACATTTCAATTGAAAAAAAAAGAAACAAATTGACCAATTTGATGCTCTACTTAATTTTTACATAACTAGATTTATTGCTAAAATCGGTCGGACCGAACAGACTGAATACTCTAAAATCTGTTCTGTTTTTCGTGTAAGTCTAGCTGACGCATAGGGGCTTATACTGTAATCTTGGATCGATGAGTAGTGTAATGTCTCCTCTCTGATGAGGTCCTATCATGCTACTTCTCTATTGGCCGCCTAGTTCACCGCATGTGCGTACGTAGTAAGCACTACATCACTACCGTCCGTTATTTGATTTTATCCAATCTGATCTGGCTGCTCGTAAATGAGTAATTATAAGAGATCGTTATCAGTTAGAACAGTGGAGTATCCAACCACCCAAAATCTCCCATTATGAAGGGTGCGGAAGACGGGGTATGCTCTTCAATAGAACTCGTTTACTATTTATTTATATCAAATGGCAGACATTTTGATAGTTTCATTAGCCTTTTAGGTGACTTCAGGCCTCACAGAGAAGAAATATCAAAGTGAAAAAATTCGAGAGGGGGGGGGGGGGACAGAAGAGTGTTTAAAAGATGCAAAAGAGACAGACACAAAGGTAGATGAAAGGTGAGGGTAGTATTGTGGAATTGGTCGGATATGACTTACAGTGGGGTCATGGTAGTTAGAAGCCCGAAGTCAACTGCCAGTTAATAGACTTTTTTGCCGTATGAGTATACGTTGCCCAGTGCGCACCACGTGGAGGTAAGTCTATCGCACACCCCCGTTTACTATTTAAACGGCTGTGAAATTACTCTCCCTTATAATTCATATTCTTCCAGATTATCTTGCTAATATTATACTGAACTAGATATGAGTGAGCTCATTTACAAATAGGCGTAATTGAATTGCTATTGGCGAATGATCAATAATGTTACTAATATTGCTAATAATGATGAATATTTTTTGAACGGAAAAATCAACTGTGAGTTTACTTGAACTCGATACTTCAAAGGTACGCTCTCTAGCAGAACTAACTTTGGGCTATTGAAAAGTGAAGCTCTAATTAGTTCAAAGGTGTGCTCTCCAAATGAAACAACTTTTTTAATGATAAATTTCCTCTATTTTATAGGTGTGAATAATCTGTTAAACGACTTTGTGTTCCTCATTTATCTATGAGCTTACTTAAAGGTATATTTCAATAGGTATGATCTCCAATTAAACCGAATTAGCTGTTTAAAAATAAAAATTTCGTTAGTGTATTGCTAGACCAGTTTCTCCTATAAGCTCTGTATGAAAAGGCACGCATGCTTGCTGTTATAAACACGTTTTACTAGTCAGGTGAAAGGAAGCCTCTCGATTGTAAACCAACTCCGAGTTCCAACGTTTCGAAGGTATTTAAACTAAAACTTTCGTTATTGGATGATGAGTAAGCTATGCATGTAAAAGTGCTCATAAGCCAGAAGAAAATTACTAAAATTATTTCTAAAGGAAAAGCCGTATGCGCCTCAACCATCTGAGACTTCACTCAAATCCAATATTTCCAAGGTATATTAATATGCTGCTTACTGCTTCATTATTATTAAAGGAAAAGGAGCTATGGATTCGAATAGGCTTGATGTTGCAATGGTATGCTATCAACTAGAGCAAACTTTTGGCTTTCGTTTCAATAAAGCGCTTTCCCTTATGATCAAGAACTCTTTGGGGCTTGGTTTAAAATCCCTTTATGTCAATGTCACAGTTGTCAAGGCCACGAGACTGATTTTCAACTGTGCACACCTAGCGGCATGAAAGAACAACTGCAGTAGCTAATTCTGGTCAACAAGTGAGATAGTGAAATGTGAGTTTCTGCAGGTTACCTTTCTTCCTAGCCCAAGTGTTTATCTTCAGTAATGAACATGGAATGTGGGCTATTCTGGCATCGTGGGGGTCATGTGTTCAGTAGGCAGTTGTTAGAGGCATAAGGCATAATTAATAATTTGCTTCAATATTATTTTCTTTTACAAGCGTGTGTTTTAAGTTGTCACATTTATATTTAGTCTTCTGGGATTAATCCAATGATGGGAACCTCGAAACCAGCCTGTGGAAAGGCAATGACCCCCTTAAGTCCCCTTGGCGGTTCAATGCCTCCTCAATACGGAATGGCATCTCCCAGTCGTTTAATGCCCCCTCCATCCCGCTTTGCCCCGAGAACAGCCCGCTATGCTCCCAACGCTTTCCCTATGGCAACACCGCTTACCAATCCAGGTCTGTCTATGCCACAACCTTCAGCCAGTAGTGGTGGCAGTCATGGGCCTTTGAGCCCCTTGGCTGAATATCGGCCTTCACCTCTTGGTGGAGGTACTTATCCCTCATATGCTACTCCGTTATCTTCTACTACTGATGATGGAGGAGATTTGAGGCGTTATACTGCAGTGGCACCGGATCCAATTGGAAATCGATCACCTTCGCCACCGTTGCCACCTCCGGCAACGCAGTACCACTCTCCACCCTCACCCTAATTAATGTTTGCTATGCTTGCTTGTATATGTAATTCTTCCTGTCTTTTTTACTTTGATGATACACATATTTGGCTCTTTAAACTTTTGGCCTGGCCTTTTGGGCGGGAAATAGAAATCATACTGCGCTAGGCTACCTCGGGCTTCAGAATGCTCATTGTAAATGGAAGTGAAGTGTTTGTGTACAGGAGAGGATAAACAACCCGTCCATACAAAGTGGGCTGAATACAACATTGTCAAAATGGAATCAATGTTTAAAGGTCTTTAAATTTCTGTCAAATGTTAAGCAACCTATAGAAATAGCAATTTCGTAGTTTTGTTCTAGGTCCTCCTGGGTTTGTTAAGGTATGTCTCGGGATCTGCACTGTTAGACTTCTTTGGGGGACAAAGCAAATATGAGTCATGAAATACCACATTTCAAATCTAATTATCTCCTAAAGGACTGGAGTGAAATAACAAACCCTTTCCAGATCAGACATTCAACCGCTGAATGGAGAGCAAAAAATTCAATTAAACGCAAGACATAAAAAGTAAAGAGTAAATGAAAATTTAAAGGAACAATATATGTGTAATTGTGGTAAGCTGAGCAGTTAAGAATAAAATTCTTACGGCAATTAAAACTATGACAAAGTGTGAGAAAACATTTTGCCCGACAGGATTGTAACAGTTGATGATGTCAGGGTAGATGAGAAATAGTTTGGGGGCCACTCTGATATGAAAACCGCAGTCTACCGTCATTTTTGATTATCTCTTATCTGGCATGTGAATTCGCTGAGAGCCAATAAATATTTCATCGCCCCATAATTGGAAATATTATTCGAAAGGATGGACTAGCTAAAATGATAACCAACACGCGACTTCATAGTTTAATAATGAACTAATATTATTCTTACGGTAGTAGAGTCGAAATAACTATCTGTTACGATTAGTTGCTATTGATTCCAATGGCAGAATAATAATAAGCATCTATATATTTATGCACTGGGAGGATGATTGATTACATTTAGATCAGCGGCCAATACTGAAATGCTTCTGAATAAGTAATAATTTCATGTTCATTTATATATATTACTGCGAAATATTTTTAAAGATTCGTCTTCAATTATACTAGAATGTTTGAATACAACAGCAAATATCAAGCTCCAATTTGTGAAATATTTGGTTTCCACACGTCAGATTGAAGAGGTAATCCATTAACAAATATAACTCCAAAAATATTGCTTTTCATTTTCGGAAAGTCAAAAGGATTGTTTCGATAAGAAAAAAATGAAAATTTCCAATTCAAACAATAATCAGTTATTTTACTCTGTGCGCTGATTAATCATTGAATAAATTTCACAATACAAAACTGAAACACATCTTCATACTTATATTTTGGCAGAATTAAGCAATGCAATTGGCATCTGAAAGTTTTATGTCAATATAACTTTTGTATATTTAGTTATTGACTAAACAGTCTATAATGAGATTTTTTGCTCATATTTTAAACAAAAAAGCCTTATTTTTTGAAAAATTAACTCATACTTTAAAATATTATTATTTTATATACTTTGTTTAGGCGACCTATTTTCATCGCTTAGATTATATGCTTGACTATAATCGCAGCAGCGCACTTCAAAACAACATTTTAATGCTCTAAAATTCGGTTGACAGAATTATTATTTTACTAAGTATTTCGAACAAAGTACAAGTATGTCCCAGTGTGTTTTTATTTATCTTTATTTTTTGTTTTCTTGAAACAAATAATGTTTTACATATCTGACTGTAATATATACAAAACAATTTTTTGTATCGTTATTGCACTGATTAATACCCATGTTTCATCTTCCGAATGATTAAATGTTTTATATTTGTATTTGGCATCTTTTTGCTTTTTTAAAGGCCATTAAATTTAAAATATTCACACGCCTTTTTAGAAATGACATCAACAGCTAGTGATATAGTAGCCACAGGTACAGTAATTAAAGATCGTTGGAAAGTTGTCAAAAAATTGGGGGGTGGTGGATTCGGCGAGATCTACGAAGCCTTAGATAATATGACTCAACAGAAGGTTGCTATCAAGGTAGAGTCCACACAGCAGGCGAAGCAGGTCCTCAAAATGGAAGTTGCTGTACTCAAGCGTTTGCAGGGCAAACCTCACGTCTGCCGCTTTATTGGCTGTGGACGAAATGAAAGCTACAATTACATTGTCATGACCCTCCAGGGTCGTAATCTTGCAGATTTGAGACGTGCAACTCGACGTGGCTATTTTTCAATTTCTACTACTGTTCGTCTTGCACGCCAAATGCTCTCAGCTATTGAGAATATCCACTCTGTTGGCTTTCTACATCGAGATATTAAGCCTTCAAACTTTGCGCTTGGTACTGGAATAGGCCCTGGTTCTGTTAGTCCTCGAAACATAGTTATGCTAGATTTCGGATTAGCACGCCAGTACACTACAACTAGTGGCGAATTACGACCACCTAGACCAGTTGCCGGCTTCCGTGGAACAGTTCGATATGCCTCTGCAAATGCCCATCTTAACAAGGAACTTGGAAGACAGGATGATCTTTGGTCACTCTACTATATGCTTGCGGAATTCATAACCGGCGAGCTTCCTTGGCGTAAAATCAAAGACAAGGAGCAGGTGGGCATCATGAAACAATCTTTTGACCAGAATCAACTTCTCAAATTTATGCCACGAGAATTTAGAGCCTTTTTGGAGCATATACAGAGTTTGACCTACTTCGACAAACCCGATTATCAGTATCTCCAATCCTTACTAAATAATTACATGGAACGGCGATCAATTAATGACGCCGATCCGTATGACTGGGAGGTGACAAATGAGCATTCTGGAGCTGCTTTGAGTGAAACCAATCAGCATCATACCAATGCTCCAGTTAAAGTAAACGCCGCTAATACAGATGCCAAAGCCACGAAAACACCAGGAATAGGAGGGAATGCGGCTGCTTCACCAAGTGGAGCAGGCTTAGTGGTGACTAGTGGCTTCTATTCCGGCACAAGAAAACTGCAGGCCGACTCTTCAAACGCTACCAATGGAGGTAATGTTGTTTGTGCTGAGGGAGCTGGCTCACAATTTGGCGGATCTACACCGAATGTCTACAAACTGACTGTCACACCAACAGCGGCGGCGGCAAAACGCTCGGTTGAAGATGCGATTATAAATAACAATGGTGACGCAACTGCAGCTGGTTCAAATGCGCCGCTATTTCCTGTTGTTGTGCCAACTAGAAAAATGCCCTACTCCTCGTACTTCCGTTCAGGTGGGAGTAATAGCAACGTCACTACACCTCGTTATTTGAAAGAAGCCAAGGCGGCCTCACGTACGAGAGACCATAAATCGACTCTCCCAAGGCCTATAAAATCTCGAGAGGAGGGCGACAAAGATGGCGGGGCCGTTAATAGTGTTACCAGTAGATCAAGCCTTTGGGGGCGTCGACCGATCAGTGCCAGCACCAACAATATTCGCAGCAGTGTTGGACAGGCTGGCAGTAATGTCAGTCTGACCAATTTCGGAAAAAATGACACCTCCTGTACTCATGCCGTGGTTGTTATGGTTGATCAGGATAATGGATTGCCAGATATAACTAGAGCTGGAGCTTGCACCTTTGCTAGTCAATGGGGAATTACTCAAAATGGTGAGGAAGAAAGTGAAAATAATTCAAGGATTTCTGAAGATGAAGTTGAACCGGGATTGGCAACCACTTCTTCCATTAAAAAGAAGGCCACAGACAAAGTAGAGCGTCAATCTCCACCTCGGGAAGGCAATGTTGAAGAAAATAATAATAATAATAACAATAACAGTCATGTCTCGAGTAAGGTTACACCTAATCGTCTCTATATGCCTCCGTTAACAACTCCTGCCTTCCCTCCTCAGTTGTATTCTCGTAGTCCTTCTATTCCTTCCCACGGTGCCGTGGGTAGAAAACTTCAAACCACCTCTAATCGTCGCCGACGGTTGAGTTCAGACATTAGAGGAAAGTCGAGGACTCCGGAAAATACGTCGCTTCTTCCACCGAGATACAGCGGATCGTCTGGGTCGATTGTTGCCACTCCTGGGAGTGATAGCAGTGGATATCACTCCTCTCAACAACCAACATTACCAGAAATTCCTCTGCCCTCGGGGCATGTACGATCGTGGCCACCTGAAACTGTTGCTCGAAGAGTCTCCAATCTGGCTGCAATTAGGAGATCTGCTGGAGGCCTACTGCCGTCAGCAAAATTCCCCTCTCTTCAGACAAGTGTCGCAAATTGTCTAATCTCCACTGAAATACCTCGAGGTTCTGTACCTATTTTGGAATCTCAACGAAGTACTGAGGAGGACAGTAAACTCACTCGAAACTCAAAACAGGAAATTTTTGTTCTTGGAGGGGATGAGAAAGATATCGGAGAAGAACCAAAAGAAAATATAGTGAGTTTCACGATCAATTTTCATGCCTTATTGTATTCAATTGGTGAGCACGAATGTTAAATGTTGGACCAATAGGCTCATTCGCGTCTCTAGTTGTATTCCATGCAGTCTTGAGACAGGAAGATGAAGTGCGCTTTCCATTCGCCTATACTCTGTTGGGAATTGGTATAGTTAAATTCTGTGAGGAACTATCTATACCTTTGTAAGGTGGGGGCAGTTTGTTTATTTTTTACTTTTTTCACAAGCGTAATCAACCTATGCCTATCTAGTTCTCTGGTGAGTCAACTTGGTTTCTTCATTCACTTCATTATGCATTTTACTGCATTTCTTGAATTGGCAATTTTTTGCGAGTGTTTATGCTCATTTTTTACGCTTCTAATTGGTCACTTTAATAAGAAGATCTCTCTTTTCCTTTGATCGTCAACGCCCCCACGCACTACCTAAATCCTTATCAGATTTACTCACTGATTACCATGTTAATTGATTTTATGTTCTCTAGGGGAGCTGAACTATTCCTGCTCTTTTGATAAGTGTCCTCGTATTTCCTTCCGTTTCCTGCATCGACTGTATTTTTTTGCCATTCTGTTTATCTTATTCTCTCTCTCTCCTGATGTTTAATTGTTCCGTTGAGAGTAGCCTCGTTTATTGACACGCTTTGTTAAATGGGAGGCTAATTGTGAACACGAATCTTCGTAGCTTCCAGATTTCTAGGGAAAGCTAACTTTGAGAGTTTCATTCTATGAAATTAGAGCGTGGCTAGGTGGTTACCACTCGTACTTTACTTAGTAATCAACCTAATTGCTTTGCGCACTGTGGTAATTAGGATAATTCGCCACGTACTTGATACTGCATGTTGAGGGAGTGAGAGTGGAATGTCGAACTGAATGAGCTTGTAAGGAAATTGCAATAAAATCACTAAGAGGGGGTTGATATGGTAATTTCAGCGATATAAGCACTTAAAGCTTTGCGTTTCAAGAATATTTCATTCACTCAAAAAAAACAATATCGACTGCGGGAGAAAAGATGCACAATTCCTTGGACCGCGAGTCTTAGAAATTGATAAGTGACCTATTTAAATTGGTATTTCTTAACTTCTTTACTGTCCATAACCAAGGTAGGAGTTAGGCTGAGAGGTCAATAATCTTTCATTTTTTTTCGTCTCCTAAGAGTAATGATTTCCTTTGAACTTTGAGTGGATCTTGGTGTCGTGGATTTTCATTGCTGTAAGGCTATTGAAAGTACTTATTCTAAATCGCTTAAAACGGAGGTGAAAGCGTATACCTGCTGCCTTACAAGTTTAAAGGATTTGGTGTTATCATTGATGAAAATTGGCTTATTTTTTGATAATTTTAAATTAAAATTGTGATGTCTTATCAAATGAGTTTGTACTATTACTAGGCGAACAAATTGGCAATGGTAATCAGTCACGAAATAATGACCACAATTTCCGATATATACATTCGTGTAATTAGTCTATTAATTACATTTCACTTAGTGAAAAAAATATAATTGTTAAGATCATGCGGTTAGAGCTTAATCCCATTTCCAAAGTGCATAGATCACCTTGTGTTAAAGTTCTCTTGTGTTTTATTACTTTTTTCGTGAGTGTGTGAGCATCATTATCACGGCCCTTGTTCATCTCATATTTGTCGTTGTCATCCTTTTTTTGTTTTCACTTTGAGTGTCTTGTCTCTTCTGTTTTCCTTCACGTGTTGGCAACACATCTGTGCGCACTTTCTTCGTTTTGCTTGCGAAGAGAGAGAGAGAGCCTCGTTCGCTTTCTTTCTTCCTTTTTGCGCTAACTGCGCACCATGCTAGTGCTGGCTCCTGGGTGTCGTCGTGTTCCCTTGAGGTCAACTTTGTGTGTGTGTGTGTGTGTGTGTGTGTGTGTGTGTGTGTG